ATATCCATATGCAACTAACTGCAAATTCATTGTCAGCTGGTGAAATCTTAGTAGAGTAATCCCAAAAAATTGCTAATATCCCTGTGTATAACACAATAGACGAAAGGATAATTGAAAAGGTGTCTTTAACAAATCCAAACTTGGTTTTGTCCAGGTGATATAGTTTTGCCTTTTCGAATGTTTCCTGGGACATTACCTCTTTCAAATCATCTGGTACATTTTCCGTTCTATTAGCTAACAGGAACTAAGGAAAGAGACAAATCGAATTACTACCATCGTCTGAAATATTACTTCTTTCAAATTTACCTGTCTAATTGATAAGTACAGCTCCCAAATGTACTCCAACCATAAGAAAAATAGTATTATCCCTAACATACACGAATTATCTATTACAAACATTTTAAATACTTCAATAGACATTATTTCATTCAGGTAATAAATCTACTAGCAAAAAAATTGATAAAAGTACAAAATTATGATACTTTTCACCACATTCAAAACCTAACCTAGAATTATGGATTTTACAGATTCCGAAAAAAATGTTGTTCTTGAAGTAGCAAAAGTCATTTAGCCAACCAACTTTATTTCGTTAATCTCGTATGCAAGTATTCTGATCAGATTAAATTAAGTCCAAATCTAGCTACAAATCAGAGTAATATTATATGAAACGAAAATGGAATTCTATTTTAATTTTTAAAGTAAATAGAAATAAATCATTACGTTATGTTTATAGATTTTAGGCGACCTTTGTATATGGACAAATTTCGCTTGACATGTTATACAATCCTCTAAAATGAAAATGACACACCGCGTTCGCTGGTGTAATGTGGGTGCGCTAACTTTCGCATTCCTTGGAACAGATTGTAATTGGTTTTAGTCGCCTGTGATCGTGTTTTACTTAAAAATACTGCACGTCTTTTGTTTTTCTGTTATTATTATTATTTTCTGTTAAATGTTTAAAAAAAAAATAAAGAATTCAGTTTAATTCTGAACGATCTAAAAATAAATGTTTAAAATGTTGTACTTTACACATTTTTAGCGGACAATAAGATATTATAAATTTGTCGTTTTTAGTTAAATAAGTACGTGTAATCTTTAATCTTGTTTGTAAATAATTTCGTCTTCCTTCTTCACTAAAGGCCAAATGTGTATTATTTAAAATAAATAATAATAATGAATACATATGTTAAATAGTCTGTTGGCTGTATGGTATTGTTTTTATGTTATATTCAAGAGGAAACATAAATAATGTAAATAATACAATTATGTCTGTTAATTGTTTAGAACAATATGCGCTACGTTATTCATTTTTGCAGTGTTTATTAAATAAAAAGTGGTATGAAGGGAACAAATTTACGCTCTTATTTTATATAATTGTTTCGTTCCCTGTAAATGCTGAATTTGTTGGCCGTAAACTAAGTAAAACCGAACAAATAGTTATATTGATAGTTATTGTACAATTAACAATAAACTATTATTTGATTATTATCTCTGATTGCTTTTTTAAAAAAACAAAATTCTATTAAAGGATTTATTTCAGAATTATGTCATTACACATTACCTACATTAAATAAGAAAGAAAAAACATTATTCTTACCTTTATTAAGAACGAGAAACTCGAAATAACTTTTATTCCCTACAAGGACACTAATAAGAAGTCAAATAAATACAAAATAGATTAATATTTACAAAATTTTAATATTCTGCATGTATTTCGTTTAAGTAAATGCAATAGAATTATTAATTAAGTATACACACTTAACTAACTATTATTCTCTCTTTTTTTCGTCCTTTAAGGCTCTCAGTCTTTCAAGCAGAGACGGATGTGAATGGTGCCAGGCAGAATAGAGTTCATCATAAATTGGAAATCCTAAATTATCTTTATTCAACTTGATCAAAGCTAAACGTAATGATTCAGATTTGTTTAGTCTTAAAGCAAACTGGTCTGCTTGGAATTCAAATTTTCTTGAAAGGCAAGCCAAAAGGAACGACAAAAATGCATTATAGGGTACCATAATGTACTGCAAAACGACCAAGAGCCCCACCAAGACCGGCTCTACACCAGAAGGGAAACCAACAGCTTCATAAAGAAGAGGAATTTTGAAAGTATATGCAAAGACCATAAATAGAAGAAACAGGCTTGTCTCCATAATAACAATATTCTTGATAATGTGTCCATACTTCCAGTGTCCAATTTCATGTGCTAAAACAGCTAGCACTTCGTTGTTTTCGTAATTATCGATCAAGGTGTCAAACAGCACTATTCTCTTTACACCAAACAATCCCGAAAAGTAAGCATTGCTATGTGCAGACCTTTTGGAGCCCTCTACGACGTACAATTGTCCCAAAGGAAAGTTGAGCTTGGTTGCTAACATCTCTATTTCAGACCTTAGCTCTCCTTCAGGCAACGGAGTGAATTTGTCAAAGAGGGGTGCAATATATGTGGGATACACAGTTAATAATATGAGCATAACAAGACCTACAAAAGCCCACAGCCACATGAAAAACCAGTCTCCTCCATATTTCACAATCAAGATTGCCAAAGAAGATATTGGTAAACTCAAGAACTGACTGAGGGCAAACACTTTGATCCTATCAATCACAAAGAATCTTGCAGTTTGCTTGTTGAATCCATATTTTTCTTCCAACACGAACGTGAAATAAATGGAAAATGGTAAGTCCAAAACAGTAGACATGCTAGTTAACAAGAATATCCATATGCAACTAACTGCAACTTCATTATCAGCTGGTGAAATCTTAGTAGAGTAATCCCAAAAAATTGCTAATATCCCTGTGTATAACACAATAGACGAAAGGATAATTGAAAAGGTGTCTTTAACAAATCCAAACTTGGTTTTGTCCAGGTGATATAGTTTTGCCTTTTCGAATGTTTCCTGGGACATTACCTCTTTCAAATCATCTGGTACATTTTCCGTTCTATTAGCTAACAGGAACTAAGGAAAGAGACAAATCGAATTACTACCATCGTCTGAAATATTACTTCTTTCAAATTTACCTGTCTAATTGATAAGTACAGCTCCCAAATGTACTCCAACCATAAGAAAAATAGTATTATCCCTAACATACACGAATTATCTATTACAAACATTTTAAATACTTCAATAGACATTATTTCATTCAGGTAATAAATCTACTAGCAAAAAAATTGATAAAAGTACAAAATTATGATACTTTTCACCACATTCAAAACCTAACCTAGAATTATGGATTTTACAGATTCCGAAAAAAATGTTGTTCTTGAAGTAGCAAAAGTCATTTAGCCAACCAACTTTATTTCGTTAATCTCGTATGCAAGTATTCTGATCAGATTAAATTAAGTCCAAATCTAGCTACAAATCAGAGTAATATTATATGAAACGAAAATGGAATTCTATTTTAATTTTTAAAGTAAATAGAAATAAATCATTACGTTATGTTTATAGATTTTAGTGTGAAGTATGGATTTTGCAAAGTATGAACATGTAACATCTAGTTTACTGTTTTTCGTAGAGATGTCTCTGGTTGCTATCTCCCTTCTTTCTCTTTCGTTTAAGGACTGTAATGGTAAGTAGTGAAAATTTCCGTGTTGTATTAGTAAAAATACTTGATAAAATAGATATTTGAATAGTTAAAATCATTAATAGTTCGAAATAAACGTATATACCTTTACCTTTCATTATAATATTTGATTAATTGCAGGTAATAGGCAGAGTAGTGCTTGCCCGATTCCCCACGTTTTTCTCGAAATCAATTAATTTACTAAAAATGTAAGTATCGACTTGAAAGTATCCTTTTACAGAAGCTGAGATATGTTTACATGTTTCTTTTCAATTACAACTTTATGCCAATATGAACGTGAATTGTTTTACTTGTAATTTTATATTGAGGTTATGTTGGTCTCGTTAATTTTCAGAACAAAGTATATTTAAAACTCTGTTTTAATTTGTGAAGAAAAAATGGAGATACTTATAATTAACGTAGTTTAATTTAATTTACCCATTATTTAGGGTTGTTCTGAGTGGTATCATAAAGTGATTATGTTGTAAAGAAAGTCATTTTTATTCTTAGGTCGTTTAAAAAAAATGAAGGAAAGCCTTATGCTCCTCGTCGAGATGCCAGTAACTTCAACAATAAAAGTCAAAGGGGGGGAGGTTACAAACAGAACGGTCTTAATGGGAATTATTCAAACAATGGTTATGGCCGTTTTGGATCTAATGGGAGCAACAACAACTTCAATCGCACCATGGAAAAACCAAATTGGGGAAAGGAAACTTTGGCACCAATAAATAAATCCTACTATGTTCCCCATGCTCACATTGCCAAACGTTCCTCCTTTGAAATCGATCAATTCCGTCGTTCTAAAGAGATCACTGTTGAAGGCGAGGACATTCCTCATCCCATACAAAAATTTGACGAGTGCAACTTCCCAGATTATGTCATGGAAGAAATTAGAAAGCAGGGCTATGATGAACCAACTGCTATCCAAGCCCAGGGCTGGCCTATTGCCATGAGCGGGAAAGATATGGTTGGAATAGCTCAGACAGGTTCGGGCAAGACACTAGCGTATATTCTTCCTGCCATTATGCACATTAATAACCAGGAAGCCACCAAACGCGGAGACGGTCCCACAGTCCTGGTTTTGGCACCAACTCGCGAATTAGCGCAGCAGATCCAAAAAATTGCGACAGAATTTGGCAGCTCTTCGTACATTCGCAACACTTGTATATTTGGGGGAGCTCCAAAAGGTCCACAAGCCCGTGACTTGGAACGCGGCGTCGAAATCGTCATTGCAACCCCTGGACGGTTGATCGACTTCCTGGAAAGAGGCACCACAAATCTCAAGAGGTAGCAGATCCTTTTATAAAATGAATATTTAGATAACATTAAACAATATAACGTTTTAGATGTACCTATTTGGTCTTGGACGAAGCAGACAGGATGTTGGACATGGGATTTGAGCCCCAGATTCGAAAGATCCTTCAGCAAGTACGTCCCGATCGTCAAACCCTCATGTGGTCTGCCACATGGCCCAAAGAAGTAAAAAAACTTGCCTCCGACTTTCTTAGCAATTACATTCACATAAACGTCGGTTCCATGCAACTGTCTGCCAATCACAACATTGTACAGATAGTAGATGTGTGCCAAGAGCAGGAAAAAGAACAAAAGTACTGTTTAAAAATTCACTGAGTGAAATTGTTATCTTATTTTCCTGTTGATATTGTTTTAGATTGACGAATTTATTGCAAGAAGTGGGGTCAGACGATGCCGACACCAAGATTGTCGTGTTCGTGGAAACAAAGAAAAAAGTCGAAACCATAACTAAAGTAATTCGAAGAATTGGTTGGTCTGCAGTTGCAATGCACGGGGATAAAAGCCAGCAAGAACGTGATTATGTCTTGAAGGAGTTCCGAAATGGGAAGTTCAACATCTTGGTAGCTACTGACGTTGCAGCCCGTGGACTTGGTAGATATAAGGGAATATGTTTACCCTTCTATCATGTTATTAATTGATTTTACAGATGTGGAAGGGATCAAATACGTTATAAATTTCGATTATCCCAATTCTTCTGAGGATTATATTCACCGGATCGGTAGGACGGGACGGTCAGACTCTACAGGGACGTCGTACGCCTTTTTCACGCCCAATAATTTCAAACAAGCTAAAGATCTAGTGTCTGTTCTTAAAGAAGCTAATCAAGTTCGTAAAATAATAATTTTAGTCGATAATATTTAATAAATTTTATTTTATTAGGAGATAAATCCGAAATTGTACGAGATGGCAAGTCGTGCTGGTAACTATGGAAATGGTAACAGCAGATTTTCCAGGTGGGGCACCAGCAAAGGTGGATTCGGTGGTAACGGACAAAGGACCCATACCAGATTTGGGGGTGCTGGCAACTCAAGGTTTTCTAATGGATATAATAACAGTAACGGATATTCTGGTAAGAAATTTTCTTTTTCAAAATACGTGTGTTAATTTTTTTTTTTCTTTTTTTTTTGTGCAGCGTAAGAGTATAATATCGTTTGACACTGCATTCCACCAGATTTGACTTTGTTTCTCTTCTCGTTCTTTATAAGTTCTGACAGGGTATTTATTACATGTTCATCTTATCATTGGTGACAACTTTCATCTCTCATTTCTCTGTGATAATGATGAAAGTTTTTTATTTATTTTTAAATAACCAATTTTGTCAAAGTGTCGTACGTAAATGTAACCGGTATCGTCATTTCATAATAATATCTGCATACTTGTTTTGTTTAATTTTTATTAGAAAGAAAACGGTTATTTTACATAAATGTATTATAAATAGAACATCTTTTATAATTTTTATTTAAAACGTTCATTGTTTCAACTAGGCAATTAAATGGGAATTCTTATATTCTACTTACTTCGTTTTTAATAAACAATTAAAGTAAAATTTTATATAATCGTGAAGTGATTAACCCCGTTCATTCAATAAGAAAAAGGCTGTTTCTTTCTACACATAATTAATAAAAGTAATAGTCAAAAATGAAATAAAATATGGTCTACATTAAATCAATTTAGTACCAAAATGTTATTTAGTAGCACGATAAGTGTAAGTGTACCCTTAAGTATAATGGTAGGTAAAAAACGTATATTTTAATGCATAGTTCAAAGAAAGGCGCAGATTCTCATAATAAAATTAAAAGAATATAAAGTCCGGTACGTTCAATTTACGTTTGTTTAAAAACTATTGGAAACATCAAAGTTTAATCGATTCTGCGTTATTTGTATATCGAGACTGAACTGTAATAAGTTGCATTACGTTATTATTTACTGCAAATAATAGTAAAATAACTTTACAGTTCAAATTTTTCAATCGTCGCGTCGTATGACCAGATCGAAACTACTTTTAAATTGCGACATTTCGCGCGGCAGATAAGGATGTGGCTAAAATAATGCCTCACACTATGTTAAAATTTCTCACATTATTTGCAATAAATAATGCTATAACCCAATAAAAATTGTTATTTATGCGGTTAATAAGTTATGTCAAGTGTAGGTTGCTCGAATTGTTTATTTATTTTTGAATAAACAGGAGATTCTCTTTATATTATCTAAACAAAAATACTTTGCAAGACAATTAATTTAAGTTCCCTTGATTGACTTCAATCATGCCAATGATATCTTCAATAATTTTTGAATAAATAATCGATTTTTTTGTTTAAAATGAAATTAATACGTACAGAATTACAAATTTAAAAGAATTAGTTGTATTGTGGTACCAGATACACAAACCTGTCTATTCACACATCTATGGTTTAATGAATTAGTTATCTTTATCTATGGTTTATTTGACAAGTTGAATTAAAAGTTATAGGGTTATAAAATGAAATTTATTAGAATAACTATTTAAAAAATCATGTTAATGCAAATAAAAATGAAGTTGTAGTTAAATAGAAAGACACGTTGATAAATAGTGATAAAATATGAATATTTAAAGACGATAGTTCACACATATTATTAAATTTTGTTGGAATAACAAACTCTAACCTCAAAAGCTGCATATACATTATTTAGTGGTTTGTTTTATTTTTTAACGCTTATTAACGATGTTACCTCAAGCTACTGGCCTGAGAAACTTATCTCAACAAAATCTACTTCAAGAATTACGCCTATTTATCGGAGGTACTTCCAAAACTATAAAATGCAATTCCTTAGAACTTACAAAAACGGCTTTATCCCTTCTAAAGCAGTTACCGCCCTGTAGGGAGGCTGTTTTCGAATATTTTCATGTCGTCTTTGATAATGCGACTTTAAATTATGTGACCAGATTAGAGGTAGTGTTAATTGTCTTTTTCAAATAGTGTATGATAAAATATTAATTGCAGAAAGAAATAGCAACAGGACAGATGCCCCCTGCTTCAGAAGATGATGAAACAACGATATCTGAAATCCATTCTGTTTTATGCAACTTTATTTCTACGAATGCAGAGGCCTGGGCCCCTATAATTAGCACATGGTCTTTGGAATTATTAGGCGAGTTGTCCACTAGGTATGCTGGTAGAGCTCATGTGTCAACAGGTTGAAAACATCACTTATCCTCTTTTTATAATTAAGTAATTAATGGTTTTGTTTATCAGGTGTAAATGAGACTTTGCAATTGTGGATGAGCTGTATAAGTACTCGTACCTTAATTGATGTAACTACACAGTGCCTATCTTGTTTGATGAATTCGGATACGGAGGCTTGTATAAGTGCCCTTTTAGGTAAGAACACGGTGTTCTTTTTTCATTTTGAAATAATCTTGTGTTTTTATTTTATATATTCCTTAGATACTTCTGTTAAGCATTCGCCGAATTTTGATTGGGTTGTGGCACATGTAGGCAGTTGTTTTCCTAACACTGTCATAACAAGAGTCCTGTCTTGTGGCCTTAAGGACTTTTGTCAAAATAAGTCTTATGAACAAGGCTGTGATTCTCCTAAACTTAAATCAGTCGTCGGTATTTTGGGGCATCTGGCTGGGGGTCACTGTAACGACATCAGAACGGCACTTTTAGATTTATTTAATGTAATTTATCGTTACAATAATGTTCTTGTCAAGAATACATAAAATTTCAATTTTTATTGGTTTTAGTGGAGCCATAAGCATATGCTTTTTCAAGATGATAGCACAAAGTCACAAAAGAAAGCAACAGTTCCATTCCTACTTCAGTTGGCCTACCTTTCACCCACTTTATTCTCAACAATTTGCAAAGATATTAAGAAAACACGTATTATGCTTTTTAAACTCAAAATAGGATCATTTTACATTGTATATATTATTTTTTTTTTAGTAACTTTGGATGTTATCGTGGAGTTGTATAATTACACTGACGATTGGTGCAAGTATTTCGGATCTTCGGAGTCTCTGCAAACCCTTCTGGTCAATTTAATATTGAAATGCGATGTGGGAGCTGTGCAAATAATTAATTTACTTATGGATTGCATTCAAACTGACAAATTGGCCACAGACGACGAATGTGTGAAAAGAAATATACGGGATACTTCGAGAGAGATTTTAGGTACGAATTTAAACAATCCTATGTACAGACTGTTCATTACTGTCTTGATGGGCATGTAATGTAGTACCAAAGGCCTGTTCAGAGCATTTTGTATTATATGGCTTCAACAAATATGTAAAAAAATTATAGAAGTAAAACTTTCGTTTTAGAACTCGTTTTACATGAAGTCGACTCAGCTGTTCGAGTTCAAAGCCAACAAAATGAATCTGTTCATATTTTACAATGTTTTGTCAGAGAAATTCTGGACGTTCACGAGTTACTATTAAGTCCTGACAAAGTAAAATATCAAACTGCTGCTCAGATCGTAACATTTGTTGGTAAATTTAATACTTTTAACTTTGTCGTTTTAATTGTCGTCTTTTTTCGTTGTTTAGGGCATACAAATCCATATCTACTAATAAATTCGATAACGTTTCTCTTCGAAAATTCCAAAACAGACGAACAACTGGTTTTGATCGTGAAAATTCTTTTTAATGAATTAATCGACAAAACTTTGCAGCCATATGCCGACAAAAAAGGCCATTTCGCTATGGTTCTAGAGCAAGTTTTGAGCAAAGTTAATACGCGTATAAATCTGGCTAAAGAAATTGAAGATGACATAGATTCGATGCTGGTTTGGAAAAATTTACTTATATTACTTCAGTGAGTTATAGTATACGTTTTATTCAGAATTAACTTTATTTTTTTTAACAATTTCAGATGGGAAAAAGGCGAAGTTTTCCTTTTAAAGTCCAAAATTATTTCACGAGCAATTCACGCAAATTTCATAAGCTTGACGCGTTTGTTTAGGAGTGAGAAGTTACCCAGCTCCACGCTGCACGTTTTCGCCGAGCTTTTCGAAATTTTTGGTATTCCTTCGCATGTAGACCACGAGTCGTACAGGATTCCTATCAAAGCCTTGTTGGATTGCAGTATTGCTGTAGTGAAATATTTCTTCGTTTGTTGTAACGAACAAGATGAAATCGTAAAGCACAACGGCTGGAGACGAGTTAGGACAATTTTAAAACGTTTATGCCTACATTCGAAAGCCGTGAGAGTCTTGACGTTACGGGAACTATTAGAGAAATCGCTGTATACCAAAAACAGTGTGTTATTTGGGGCAAAAAATACAAAGCTGGAGAAAAACGTCGAGTTTGATAAGAGCGTTTTGGAACAGAATAAGAGGATGGTAAATATGTTTTTTATTGTATTTTCGGACTTTATTTATTTACAATACAGACGGACTAATTGGATCTTTACAAAAATAATTGTCAGGACGTATGCGTAACAGCCTTTACCATGAGATAACGTTTAGTATTAATTATTGCTTTTATGGTACAGAGTAAAACGATCCCTTTGACAAAACATTCGTCAGTTTTTAATGGGGGCATTATAGGGACCGGTAAAAGAATGCCTGCGACCCACGAAGCTTTGTCACAAGACGTAGTGGCAGAAAACACAGACCAACTGCTTAATACAATAAAAGCCTGTTGTGCTACCCTTACCGAGGCTGACGCCAAGGTCCTGGACGTATCCTTAGATAATGTGACTCTGGTATCCTTGCTCCTGGTTCAGTTCGTCAGTCCTGACGTCATGTATAACGGACTCCCATGGCCCGAAGAAGAATTTGCAAAGGTACAAATATTTTAAAAGATTATATAAAAAAAAATTACAAACGTTTCTAAAAAGGTGACCATCGAAAGGGACCTGTACATTCGTCGACTTTTCAATAACAACCCTGTCATGTGGGAATTATTGTCGTTTATTGCTGTCTATCGACCTACTTTATGTTACTGTTCGGTGCTTCTGAGAGCTCTCACGGCTACACTTATTCATCAGTGGAACAGCATGGGGAATCAGAGCAAATCAACCGATACAGGAAACTACAATTCGTTGATGGACACCACCGTCAAAGTTCTAGATGTGATGGCGTTAGGACAGCTCCTTCCTCCACCATTGTCAGGAATACGCGACGTTATATTGTACCTCAAAAATTCAGAGGTAAGTCTTTTCAACGTGTTTTCCTCGTTTGAGAATTGAATAGTAAGAAAGGAGAGAAAATGTTGTTTGCAGATCGTGCAAATTTTAAGAAATTGCGTGTGGAACTACATGAGGGACAACGTACCGTCTCCTGCGCTTTTCACGTGCGACTCAGCGGGAGTTTATTGGAGGGACCCGTCACATTCAAAACCCCTCGAAATGTATACTAGCACTTTGAGATTAATCATGCAAAAGAATATAAAAACTGTCGGTCAATCTTATTGCCAAATGTTCGTGATCATGCCTCATTCTAATTGAAATTGAAATTAATTAAAACACCAAAAGAAATTTTAACACCTTTATTTCACTATTACCTTATTCAAAATGACGGCTGTAAAATTACTGTATGACGGGAAAGAAAATATTTTATATATACAATTAGAGCACATATTAATAATATAATACTTTCTTAATTAAAAAAAAAAAGGAAAAGATGAAAACGTATTTTCTATTGCGATGTTTTATACCAAAAACTAAACTATTTCAGTTCTATAAAAACAACGAAAACTAAAGAGCCCCATATGACCACTGAAAGGAATGTTTATATGTATAATTAAGTATTACAAGTCTTTTTTCACCCTTACCTTAATCTTACAACAATTGTACTTACTGTAAATAGTCAATTTCATTATCAGTTCCATTCGTTATAAATTTTTACATATTTTACAGAAAAGGGTATTGTAAAAAATTAATATAATCTAAATCGGAAAAAATGCGCGTTACAATAAATTACAAAACGGAAACAAATTGATAAAATTGTTTTTCCTTTTTAACATTTAAAGTTCATCGTGTAGATCGACTGTGTCTGCGGAAGCCTCTCTACACGCGGCGGGTGTTGTGAATTCGAAATAGTATTCGCATCTATTCGGTTCTGTTACGCTAGTTAGTTTATTTTCACTACCACACCTGACTTTTACCCTCGTATTCCGGTCAGGGCCGTTCCAACACGACTGACCATTTTCAAACACCATCATCTCGTATTTGTTGTGGTCTGAACCATCCCAACGACTCCAAATGCCCAACCTGAAACATAACGTTAACATTATTTTTTATAAACATCATTGCCTTTTTCATACCTTGTATCAGCACCTTCATGTTTTGCTTTTGGCTGTTGTGATGTTTTATCGAAGGGGCAGAGTCTGTAGATGTATTCCCGATCTTCATAGTCGAAACACTGGCCTTCGAGAGGGGCAAATTCGTCATTAGGGCCAAAATCTTTCTCTAAATACTCCCTGATACTATCTACTTCCCTGGTGATGTCCTGAACAACCGATCGGGCCGATTCGAACTCTCGTCGGGCATCGTTGGCGCGATCGATTAATTTTTGGGTCTCTTCGTCGTAAACCTGGTGTTGGACGGTGTCTTCTGCATCTCCGGTAGCTGGGGTTGAAGATGCATCATCTTCTTCCTCGTCTTCATCATCAGGGTTGTTATCAACATCTTCTTGGCCATCCAAAAGTTCTTAAGCAAATAAAGACTATTACACTTATATATATATATAAAACAAAATCGATTCATTTACCTTCTTCTTGACCCTGAGCATCTTCACGATCTTCCTGGACAGCTTTATCTTGATTTTCTTTAATTCCCTCACCTAAAAGGGAAAATAATTAGATCTTTGCCTCGTTATTTAATTAGAATTAAAACTGACTAATTTCATCATTTACATCTTGTCCATCAATAATTGCTTGTTCTTCTATATCCTTTTTAATAGCTTCTTGTTGATTGTTCAATTCTTCTGCCTCTTTTCTTTGTCTCTCCAATTCCCTGTAATACTCTAAAGCTGCTGATTCATCTTCTTCTGCTGCCTTCTTAAGGGCCTCCTTTTCCAACAAAACCTGCTCAGCTTCTAGTTTATTCCTTTCCAGTTCTTGAATTTTTTCTCTCTTCTCTTGTTTTAATTGGGCACCTAACATACACACGTTTTAAGTAAATGAAAAGTTCTTTTTTTTTTTCAATTAAGCATTTAACATACACAAGTTTTAAGTTACAGAAAAACAAAAGCAAGACTGAGATACCTTTCTGACTTAATTCCAGTCTTATTTGAGAACCGATCTTAATCAGTTCAGCTTGCCTTTGAGCTTCCTCTCTTGATGACCGGCCTAATTCTTCACAAGTGTTAACGCATTTTGCAGAACTGGCATACTCGTCAGATGTATCACAGCAATCACAAATGCCATCATTTACTCTGTTGGAAGGAATGTTTTCTGGGTGATATCCAGCATTTAAACAGTAGAAAATTCCATGGGGACAAGCTGAAGTCCCTGGCTCGTCGCTGGCATCTTGACAGTCACAATAGTCGTCATTTACTTGCGTAAAAGGGATTGTTAAGCTGCCATCAAAGCAAGTGAAGTCCTTACTGGGGTTATACAAGGTGGAACGAGAAAGGGAAACACCTCTAGGTCGCGGTATTTCCGATGATATGAATTCACATGTGAATACCAAAAACAGAAATAGGAACTTAATTAATTTAAAAGAGCTTAAGTGCTTCATTTTTCGACCTAAACTACATATACCGGCCATCAATTGACTGGCACCAGGGCAATATTTTTTTATCAGTTTGGCGATTGTGACACGTCACTGGTACCCATCGATCTTGCCCATAGATAAGGATCCTGCAGATCTGACACTAGTATCTATGTCACTGATGCTCACCATAGATAAAATTTTCGCTGACGTTTTGATATGGTTTTGATTTTGTATCAGTGGTTACTTAAAACGTGTTTTTTTTTAAATTTATTATAATCGGATGGTGAAATTATTTCAACTTAATTTAACATTAGGAACCTCTTTGTACTTGTACAGAATGTCGAAGACAATATTGGATAGGATAATTTTCAACGCAAGGGAAGCAGAGACCACTATAACGGAACTTACAAGTGAGGTTAGGAACTTGCCGTTCTTTTTACAGATTATCGTATTTTACTTTAATATGTGTTTGTAGATTAAATCACTCACTAATGAATATAACAAAATAAGAATTGGTAAATTACTCGAGGAAAATGCGAAACTTGAAAATGAAGTGGAATTGGCAAAAAGGAAACTTATAAATTTGGAACAACGCAATGGCATTAACCAAGTATCTCTTCCTATTTCTAGAACTAGTATATCGTTGGAAGACAAGTCGAATATTCAGAAGGATAACAATATTAACATACAGTTAGTCAAGAAAATTGAAAATGTGCCCATGGAACAAGATACAAAAGCTGAAGGTTCCACAGAGAAAAAACCAAAAAAGGAAAAGAAACCAAAAGAAAAACAAACTCAAATTGAATTACCTATCAACTTTGGACGTCTAGATCTCAGAATTGGTAAAATAGAAAATGTTGAGAGACATCCAGATGCAGACTCTCTCTATGTTTTAAAAATTAATTGTGGAGAAGAAAAACCAAGAACAGTTTGTTCTGGCTTGGTCAAACATGTTCCATTGGAACAATTAAAAGATGCTAGTGTTGTTGTATTGTGTAATTTGAAACCAGTAAAGGTAACAAACAAAATTAGTTGTCTTGCACAATTTTATAATAAATAATTGTATTATAGATGCGAGGAGTAACATCAGAGGCAATGGTCATGTGTGCTAGTTCTCCTGAGTCTGTTGAAGTATTAATTCCACCTTCAGGGGCAGTGCCTGGCGATCCCGTTGAGTGTGATGGGTATAATCGTAGTCCTGACCCTATTATGAACCCTAAAAAGAAGATATTTGAAACCGTGGCTCCTGATTTACACACTAACGATTTATTGCAAGCATGCTATAAAAACACACCTTGGAAAATTCCTGGTAAAGGAAATATTCTAGCTAAATCTCTTAAAAATACAAATATTAAGTAATTTGCAGATTACATAGTACATAAAATAAAATTTTACTTTCGAGATGGAATTTTTTCAAATTAAAGCTATTTAAAAAATGAATGCAAAAATTTCTTTTGGTATCTGTTAAATTATTCAATTCACGAGATTACCAAAAGGAACGCTTCCTAATTTTGATTAGATTGATAACATCTATGTTTTTTTTTCTATTGACATCTGCTACATCTATTGGCCATTAGTGGCAGGTAGTGGTCTATTATCTATGGTGGTGGTCATATGACAACTCAAAATAAGCCCCGAAGATTTTGTTTAAATCAGTTTAAATAAATAATTTGTAATAAGAAAAACCTATTTAAAATGGCATTATCTGCAGTTCCCTTTATAATATTTACGGTATTTTGGGGAGGAGTTGGTATTGGACTTCCAATAGCTGTGCCAAAAGGACCAAACAGAGGGTAACAGCAAAATATTTTGTTTGAAAGATTAATCATATTCTTTATTGCAGAATTATTCAAGTCATTCTTATGTTGACTGCCGCAACTTGCTGGTTATTGTAAGTTTCTTTTTAACACGTCTCTTAATAGAAATAATTTAATTTTTCTTAGCTGGTTGTGCTGCTATATGGCCCAAATGAATCCCTTGATAGGACCCGCCCTCGATAGACATTCATTGCTGATAATGGCAAGAGAATGGGTGAGTTATATCATTCCTTTTAAACTTTTAGAATTAAATAATTTATTCAAAAAAGATGATGACAGATAAAACAATTGATTTTTTTACTTTCAGGGTAATCCTATAACTCGTTAGGTAACCCAGTTAATATCACAAATATATATAAAATGTAAATATAGAATATTCCATGTACTAAACTTGGAGTTATATTGTATGTAATTTTTAATTGAAAATTGGTTGTCATTCAAAAATATAATTAGCTTATTAGCCTTTTCGTTCATTTCAAAAAGTAAATATCAATTATAAAAAATAATACTTTATTCTGTAGGTAAAAATACAGATGAGTAACAAATTCAAACTTTTAACAAGTTTTAATTATGTAATTTAATATGTCATCTCTATTTAACTTATGATTTTTATATCATCATTCTTTGGTAAAGATTTCTGATATTGCTACAACTCAATACAAACATTCTTACTAAAAAATACACTGAGGAACTTTTTAAACTTACAACTATAAAAACAAAACAAAAATAAAAAATTCTCAAGCATTGTAGAAAACATTTGCACATTTTCCCAAACAAAAACGTCATTAAAAATAATATAATAAAGAGTAAATGTATCTTACTGAGATCTAAATTAGTCAGAACGTCCATAAAAATTCTCATAGGTGCTGATTTTATCTTTTTCATAACATATTTGATCTAATTCACACTGGCCCATGAAGATTGCGTCGAAATGTTCGTTATGATAATTAGACAACAAATATTCCAGTTCTTCTTTTGCATTTTCATAAACAGCAAGATCCTCGTTGATTTTCGAAAGTCTTCTTCTACAGAGTTTGTTCTTTTGATAGAATTTCTGGCTCGGACGTGACATCTCATTTAAGATGTCGCCTTTGGATCGCAATAATCTTGAAATTTCGTTATCATAGATCCTTCTGGCATGGACACATTCTCTTCTGTTTGAAATATTCCTCAAACGTTTTCCTTCCATGTGAGACAAGTCTAAGTGGGGATAAGATAGGGCAGTATTTTTCCAGTCATTTTGAACCATTTCAAAGGGGGATACCTTATTTGACTTGTACTTGCTCCACATAGGGTGAGTATCGTTGCGATGATCATGTGGATAAAAGAAGGGGCCCTGATATCTTTTACTAGTAATTGTATTGGGAACAATTTGTAGTGGAAGTGAATCTGAGTTGTCACAGCGAGGTTTTTTTATTTCATTAAGTGTTCTGGTGGAGTCGGGCAAAGACCTTTTAATGCCAGTTTCTTTAACAGAAGCATTGAATGTTCTTTCTTCAATTTTACTTTCTTCTAAGTCATCTGATGGAAAAAGTTCACTTGTTAAATCTAAAGTTATAAAATTCGACGAATTGAGGTCGGTATTTTGCTTTAATTCATCTCCTACTTCCTCTGAAATTGTGTCAGTTCTGTCCTTTGATGATGTTTCATGTCCTTCGTTTTTCTCTAAGGAACTTTTTAAGGGTTCTTCTATTAATCTGACGAATGTTTCGTTTTCAACAGGCAAAGGGTCATCATTCTTAGTACTAGTAGAGTCATTTATGTCAGAATAAATGCTAGAGCAATGAATGATAAATTCAGAACCATAGCTCAGGTCTAATGGAACGTCCTCATAAAACTCTTCTTCTGGATTTTTAAAATTTAAGGCTTCATATACGTCTGCCATCGCTCACCTAAAGATTAGAAATTAATTTATACACATGATTAATTAAAACAATAACCGTCAAAAGCCTACAAAAACATTTAGAAGTAACACCCTAAAAGCGATTTTTATTGTCCAGCTTTTACTTACCAGTTAATATTCCTGATTCCTTTTAATTATTATATTTTAAAGGGTAAACAATAGTTGATTAAAACTAATGCACTAAATTAAATTCACTAAATGAATGGAGTTTTTATGGAAAAACCATCAAATGCACACACATGTCCTGTTTTTACCGCCATAAGCCATTTTGAACAAAGTATGTTTTGAATTTAGTAGTGTCTACACTATCAAAATTTTCGTATATTATCAAAACTGTAAGGAAATATAAAAAAGGAATAAATATTAATTTAAAGTTCCAATTTTAAGTTTAAATAATCCAGTATTCATAAATTTTCAAAGTAGTTCTCATTTTCTTTGTCCTTATTTTAAGTTATAAATATTAGGGGTTTTATAAACATTTTGGATTCTTTTGAAGTATGTATATTGGTATCAGTTTTTGTCGTAATTGGCGGTACTGGAGAATAAATAGCAAATTTGCTAAGTAACTGTTTAATTTTCTGCCAGTTATTTGTAATTTTTTAATTAAAACAACATTCAAAAGCATAAGTAAAAAGTAGAATTGTTCTAAAATGAATCAAGAAATGTGCATTTTCATTCTGGTTTTACTTGTATGTTTACAAATTGTAAATTGTCACGACGAAGATGCACACACAATACAGTACAATTCGGATATTTTTTCAAGCGAAGTACCCAAGAATAATCATTTTATAATGTTTTATGCCCCATGGTAAACAGTTTACAGTTATTATAATCTAAAATAGAGTGATACATCTGATTTAAGGTGCGGCCATTGTCAAAGGTTAGGACCGACATGGGAACAATTAGCCGAAATGTTGAATGAAGATGATAGCAACATAAGGATAGCAAAAGTAGATTGTACAACTGATAGTAAAATATGTTCTGAGCAAGATATCACTGGGTACCCTACACTTAAGTTCTTCAAGCGAGGATCCTTGGAAAGTGTCAAGTTCAGAGGTACAAGAGACTTACCATCTCTTACAACATTTATAAATGAACAACTACGTTCTGTAAGTATGTTATAATCTTTGTAATGTGCGTTTTTATTGGGTCTGTCCTGTGTATAGATAGATGAAACGAAAAATGTACCTGTTGAAGTCCCTAGTACTTCAGATGGTTTGGTGGAGTTAACAGCAGAAAACTTTGAGAAGCATGTTAGTCAGGGAAAGCACTTTGTTAAATTTTATGCTCCATGGTGTGGCTTTTGTCAGGTAACACATTGAGTAACAGAGTTGAGTATTGACTAAGTAAAGAGTTTTCTAGAGATTGGCCCCTACATGGGAGCAACTGGCCAGTAAGTGGAAATTTGATGGAGGTGTCACTGTAGCTAAGGTAGACTGCAGTCAATACAGGACATTCTGTGATCAATATGAAATTAAAGGATATCCAACTCTTCTTTGGATTGAAAATGGTGAAAAGGTAACTGGAAAATGTTGTTTAATTATTTATTTAAGCTTTATATTTGTGTAGATTGATAGATACCAGGGTCAAAGGACTTTGGAAAGTCTTGAGGAATATATAAACAAAATGTTGGGTACAACTACAGAAAAAATTCCAGAATTCAAGAATGAAAGTAATGAGGAGGTGGAGAGCCCTGTCATTATTTTAAATAAGGATAATTTTAAAAAGGATATAGAAAAAGGAATTACTTTGGTTAAATTTTTTGCTCCTTGGTATGTTTTTACTGGCTACTCTATGTATAGGTTGATTTTTTGGAATATTTGTAGGTGTGGTCACTGCAAGAGACTGGCACCCACCTGGGAAGAATTAGCTAAAAGATTTTCAGATAGCAAACAAGCTAGGATTGCTAAAGTTGATTGCACAGTAGATGCCAATAAGCCCTTGTGCAGTGAGGAGGAGGTAATTCTAATTATTTGCATTTATTTATTTATTTCATCAACCAAAAACCCATCCAATTAGATAGTTATTTAATCCACCAATTATTGCAAATATACAAAACAAAATTTTAAACAGATAACAGGTTGTAGGCAACATACTACATTTAATTTTGGCTGTTATATTTAGGTGGATGGATTTCCAACGATATTTATGTATAAGAACGGGGCTAAAGTAACCGAATATGACGGAGACAGAAGTCTGGATGATCTCCAGGAGTTTGTGAACAAACACCTGGACAAACACGACGAGTTGTAGGACAATTAACCGAGAAAATTAAATATTAGTTAATGAAGGTACTTCTTTGCAATTTTTTAATTTGCATTCCTTTGTGACATCGAGGCTGAAAAGTGTGAGATTGTTTATCGGAGAGTTTTGTATTTTCTTTGATTTGGTATATTGCTTTTCATTTTTTTTTGTGTCATTAAATGTGCTATGAATTTACTTAATAAGAAACTTATTCAAAAACTAGTTACGTGTTCAAAAAGCACTTAAAATTATTTGTGATTGTTTTTACATGTTTTGTTTAATAAATAAAACTCCAATTTTATTTTATTTTTTTTTTAATGTATAGAACAAGATACTTTGAACTCTTGTATTTGCATTGAAATGTGTGGATAAATGTAACTTAGAATTTCATTTGTATTAAAATTTAATAAAATAAGAAAAAAACATTTGCTACACTTTAGCCACTACCAAGAATCTTTTGAACTCTATGTTACTTTAGTATTGTTCGATTTTCTATAGTACAGTCACTGTCAAAATTTGTCTCTATGGTTTCGTGACAGTAGATGTTTCTGTAATCTATGGTTCGGTTTTTTGCTGATTTGTCGTTAGTTGTGGATATGTTTTGCAAAACTACATCTTTTTTGTAATTTATTGAATTATAGAAGTAATAAAGCAATAATACCAATCATGACAGACAACGAAGAGTCCATGGATTATGAAAATGATAAGGCAGAGTGTCCTCCAAGTCAGGAAAACTTTGAGGAAGACATCAGTTTTGACAACGAAGAAGCTGTGAATGGCGGCGGTAGTAATAATGTTGGAGGGACAAGTGGTTCCGCAGTGTCTAGTGCTCTTAATAGTGCTACTGGTGGAGGTATTCCTACAGGACGAGATAGTGTAAATAGTGGTGGCATTAGTGGAAGTGGCGATGATTTTTCGCCGCGGGGAAGGGGCCGTGGAATGTTTAGGTGAGTCTCAGTTGCTATTTACGTTGGTCATCGTAGTTTGGCTTTGGTGTTAATTAAATTTTCAGAGGCAGGGGCCAAATGCCTCCAAGAGGTTGGCCTGGTCCACCACCTGGTCTTCGCCCCGATGGTCCTCCGCCAAGATTTAGGGGTAGAGGGTTTGGTCCTGGCATGCTTCCACCTTTCAGAGGAGGCAGGCCTCCGCCAATGTTTGGAAGAGGTCCTCCTCCCCGTGGGCCTCCGGGTGGGCCCGGTTTTCCTTCACCGAATTGGGGTGGACCACTACCAATGGGCGGGCCGCTTGGTCCTCCTCCTATGATGGGTCAAGGACATGGATTTGGTCCTCCAGGCATTATGAATGGTCCACCACCCAATCAAAATGGTCTCCAGTCTCAAGGTACTGAACATAACCAGGCTCAGACACCTCCAGGAACTTCACAGGCACAAAACAGCAGTAAATCTGGTACTGGTGACCAAACTACTGAGCAAAATCAGGACTTTCGTTCAAGTCCAGGTTTTGGCCCTGGTACAGGTCCACCTCCCAATTTCGGTGGAGGATTACCTCCGGGAATGGGAGCGGGGCCACCTCCAGGACTTAATTCTGGCCCTCCTCCGGGTGTAATTCCTGGGCCCAATACAGGACCTTTTGGAGGAAACTTACATCAAGCACAGCCGGTACGTTTAATAATATGAAAGTGTTTTTATTATTTAAAAAACCTGATATATAAGTAAATTTGACAGAATAATAAATCACCTGTATGTATGATTTACTAATAACCACCTACAAATGAACTTACATAAATTCATTCATTAAACGCATTTTAATGAATTTAATATTTTTTTATAGCCATCACTTGACGCCAGCAATGAAATTTGGGTCGAAACGAAAACACAAGAAGGTAAATCGTACTATTATAACGCACGTACCAGAGAAACTACATGGAGTAAACCAGAAGGGCCTCTCATCAAAGTTATTTCTCAAGATCAAGTGGAAGCGATGGCACAGCAAGCTGTTACAACCGCAGGTCCTATAGCTCAAGGAACTTCAACGGCGGCCCAAGCTGCCCTGGCGCAAGCCAACGTCACCAACACCAAACAAGACAGCAAAGGTAATAAATTGAATTAACCATTTAAATGGGTTTAAGTTAATCATTAACAATTAGAAAAAGAAGAATCTAAACATGATCAACTCATGAAGCAGTCACCTGGTACTCCAACATTAACTACGCCTCCTCCAACTGCAAATGGGCCTTTACAACCTCCTCAGGGTCTTATGCAAGGACCTCCGCCTGGAATGCCGCCTTTTGGAGGACACCCAGGGCAATTTCCACCCTTCGGGCTACCGCCTCCAGGATTCCAAGTTACTATAGTCTTCTGTTGGTTATTATTTTATATTAATTAGCACTCGTATTTTTTTTTTCTGTGTAGAGTAATTGGATGCCTGGAGGACCCGGTGGTCCACCCAGTTGGCATGGTCCTGCTGGTCCTGCTCCATGGGGTCTACCGCCCGGCATCATTCCTCAGACTTTACCACAACCGATTGCGACTAATACGAACGAAGACGCCAAAATCGATCCGGAAATTGTTGCTAAGGCGGCAGAGTGGTCTGAGCATAAAGCGCCTGATGGGCGCTTTTACTATTACAACGCCAAAAAGGGCGAATCAGTTTGGGAGAAGCCTCAAGCTTTAAAAGATCTAGAAAGTAAATGAACTAATAGTAAAAAATCGGACGTTGATTAACATCTCTAACGTTATTTTATTTGTAGCAGAAAAATTAGTAGCAGCCCAGGGAGTGTCAACACGGTCAGTAAATATTGAACCCATGGTGACACCAAGTTCTGCATCTGTGACCGACACGTCAGGTAAGAATAATGCACAGGTGTCAGTGTCGCAACAGCAGCAGCAACAACAACAGCTTAATTCAAACGGGTCAGACGATGCAGAAAAGCAGAAAAGAATGGACGAAGAAGCTAAACGAAAACGAGAAGAAGAGGAAAAGGCAAGAGAGCAGAAAGTTCAAGACAAATCGAGACCCATTTCGAGCACTCCCGTTCCAGGAACTCCTTGGTAATGAATTAAGACTAATAACAACGCTTATATCTATTTATTTGTACTTTATTATACTCTATTATTGTCAAAATACCTGTGCTCGGGTCTGTTTTTGTTTTATTTTATTTCTTTATTTATTAAAGGTGTGTGGTGTGGACTGGTGATGGTCGTGTATTCTTCTATAATCCTTCGTCAAGGACGTCAGTGTGGGAGCGCCCTGAAGATTTAATAGGTCGTGCAGATGTGGATAAGATGGTTAACACCCCTCCAGACGTGCTCCAACCTAAAAAGGATGGTGAACAGAAGACGCCACGTAAAAGGTCCGGTTCGGATGAAAGTGACAGCGACCAGGATGACGCCTCAACTCCAGCAAAGAAGGCAAAAACTGATAGTAGCAGTAAGTATAAGAAAACTGTTTATTATTATTTAGAAGTCGAAATGTAAATCAATTTCCGTTTTCTAGGTTCTGGTGGTACACCTCAACAGCAGCAACAACAGCAACAGCAGCAGCAACAACAGCAACAACAACAACAACAGCAGTTGCCTCAAAAGAAAATTGACATTGGTAAAGAGGCGGCGATTGAAGCGGAAGTGCGTGCGGCCAAAGAACGCGCCGTGATCCCCCTGGAACAGCGCATAAAATCTTTTAAGGAGATGTTGGCGGAAAAGGATGTCTCCGCATTCAGTACATGGGAAAAGGAGCTACACAAGATCGTATTTGACCCCCGTTATCTGTTGCTCACGTCCAAGGAACGTAAACAAGTTTTTGAGAAGTATGTTAAAGAAAGGGCTGAAGAGGAAAGACGGGAGAAACGTAATAAACTTCGCGAACGTAAAGACGCGTTTCGGAAGATGCTGGCCGAAGCGCATCTTCATGGAAAGTAAGTTTTATTACTATTTTATGTAATAATAATATAGAATATGAAATATATTATTATTATATGTTGTTATCGTTTTATTTTAATGTATCGTTTTTTCAGGTCATCTTTTAGTGATTTTGCACAGCGTTACGCCAAAGATGAGCGCTTCAAAGGTGTAGAAAAAATGCGAGAAAGAGAAAGTCTCTTTAACGAGTATTTAATTGAGGTCAGACGACGAGAGAAAGAAGAAAAGTTCCAGCGAAGAGAACAGGCAAGCGTTTTCTTTATTTCCTTTTATTAACCAATATTTACTTCTTTTCAGTAACTGTTGCAAACAATCGTCTTTGCAACGGTTTTTTTTTTTTTTATATTTTTGTTTCTGTTCTTTTACAGGTCATTAGGAATGTTTGCTCTTTTTTAATAATTGATTATTAATTAATGTTGTTTCGTACATATAATTAGTTGTTATTGTTACTGAATTTCTATAGACAGCGCAGTTGGAAGCAGTGTTATTTTATTAATTAAATGTAGTGTTCATATTTTTTTTTTCTTTCAGGGGATTGTTTTTTATTATTAAATTCTATGTATTTTTGTATTATTTCTTTGTAATGTACTTTTTCAGGTATCGTCTTTTCTTGGTATGTAATCTTTTCCTTATGTCTTATATGTATAACATTTATTGCAGAAGGATTGGATTTTGAACGTGATGGGATGTTCGACACTTAATTGAATAGAACTTTAATTATTTTAACAATTCCCTCTTTCAGCTTTTATACGTCCACAATCAATACTTATTATCTTTTCAGAAACCGTTTAACTGGTATTTTCTTTAAAGTGCGTATTTTAATGTTAAAAATGCTTTTTTATATATTTATAGTCATATTTATTAATTAGCTTAATTTAATCAAAATATAGTTCAATTTTTTATAAAACGAAGGTCAAGTTGTTACAGATTAATTACTGAAACTGAAATTTTTATTAGACACTTCTTTAATTGTATTTTGTTTAAAGTTAAACAGCGATAATAGATTTTTAGATCTTTGTTGTTTTGATATTATTTAAAAGAAAAATAGATAAATAAAACTAATTGAATTCAACGTTAACAGTGTAATGTAATAGTAGTTTACGTTATTGATCTAAACAACTAGTTTTTCATTTAGCGCTTGTGCCTTTTCAAGAAGCATGTGTGCAGACAGGTGATGTGGAGGTCTTCGGTGTTTGCTGTTGCTACTGCATGTTGTTGACGCCCCCAAGAACCCCAGTCGAGGACGAGCTTGTCGGTTGCACATCCTAACACTACAACAACTACTACTACATCTACAACACAATCGGCTACGTTCTTCCTTGTCCTTGAGGCGATCTGGTACTAAATTGTGTCTTTTTGATGGTACTCTTTTTTACCAATGCAAATTAGTCACTGCTTTTACCTTTTTTCTCTCGTTTTCTATCTCCGAAAGCCTGTTGACGCAAAATTATTAACTTATATTTTACGTAGTATTAATTTAAAAATAGTCATTCTTTGTCTGTCTGTACGAAAGAGACCTACCTCGGTTAATTTCGTGAAAAAAATTCTTTCAATATAAATGATAAGACACATGAATTTATGTGCGAAGATTTGTCATAAAATGGAGTCGCAAATTGTCTCTGAAAACGTCTATTTTCTTTAGTTTAATAGTTTCGATACAATTTAAGAAGTTTGTGAAAAAGTGTTGAAAAGTTTTTAAGAGACACTTTGTGACAACAATTAATCAATGAGTTTATATTTAGATTAATATAATAGTAATCTTTCTGTAATAATTATTTTATTTAGAAAAAGTCATAATTTTCAGCCATACTGTGGGAGGTTCCAGTATTTCGTAATCCGATTATTATAAGTTTTTTTTCAGCTTAAAACCAAGATTTGTTAGGCAGAATTCAAATTGTTTGTTTAATCAACATACGTATTTACTAGTACAATAAAAAAGACGTACTGGGAATCTGCCTAACATATCTAACAAATACTTTATTAATATATAAAATTGTTTTTTTAGGGATCCCTTACATACCATTTAGTTATAATACATTTTTTATACTTGCTCTTTTTCAGAGCGCACTGTGTTAATTAGAGTCTGTATTACAGAAATTTGTAAGGTGATTTTGCAGTAATCCTGTATCTCAGGTTCAGAAAAGGCTTCTTATTCGCCCCGTTGTCTTTTTTACTTAATATCCAACTTAATATCTACCGAACATTTTTGTGAGGCTAATTGTTTCCGTTTTTGCTGGCGTTTTTGCAGATCCGAAAGGATTTTTTTGCAATGTTGCGCGAACACCCCAACGTGGACCGACACTCACACTGGTCAGAGGTCAAGAAGCTGGTCGACTCAGACCCTCGTTACAAGTCTGTCGAATCTAGTAACATGCGCGATGATTGGTTTCGAGAGTATTGCAAAATACTCAAAGACGAGAAAAAACGAGCCAAGGAGAAGGAGCGCGAACACAAGAAAGAAAAAGAGCGCGAAAAGCAGCACAAGAAGAAAGACAAGGACAAAGAGGACAAGCATCAGGCCAAAGAGAACAAGCACAAGGAAAAGAAAAAGGATGAGAACAACAGTGATATCGGTGTTAGTACCGATGCTGGTGATGCAGACGGTGAAGGAGGAGGTACAGGTGAAGAGGTTGTATCATCAACACCAGTAGCGTCTTCAAAGAAGATTGAGGTGAGTGTTATTAATAAAATAAATATCAAAGTAAATGGGTCAATAAATAATGTTCAATTTACTTTAATGTAGGACATGGAAGAAGATCAGCCAGCTCCTTCGTCTGACGAAAAGGTCAAGGAGCAGAAAGAGAAACAGGCACGTGCCGAGGCTAGTCTTCGGGAACGTGAGAAGGAAGTTCAGCGAACATTAGCGACCCACATGAGGGACCGGGATAAAGAACGGGAGCAACATAAACGGGACGAGGCGGTGCAACACTTTAATGCATTGCTTGCTGATTTGGTGCGCAATCCTGATACAGGATGGCGTGAAGTAAAACGCACACTTCGTAAAGATCACCGATGGGAGCTTGTGGAATCGCTAACAAGAGAAGAAAAGGAACGATTGTTTGGGGAACATGTCGAACATCTGGTTCGTAAGAAACGGGACAAATTTCGGGAGCTTCTCGACGAAACTTCCGAAGTTACGTTAACTAGTTCATGGAAGGAGATCAAAAAGCTTATTAAGGACGATCCAAGATATTCCAAATTCGCATCTAGTGAAAGGGTAAGTGAAATAGAAACGACGGAGATGGAAGCAGAGCATCCTCTGATTTAATTTTGTTTCAGTGCGAACGGGAGTTCAAAGATTATCTGAAGGATAAACTAATCAGTGCGAAGGGCGAGTTTAAAGAATTGCTCCAGGTAAAGGAACCACATTACAGATTGGGCTTCAAGTAAAAAAATAACAGTCAGATTCAATATTGACCATAAAAGAAAAATAACATTCACATTTTATATTTATGGCAGTTACCATTTTTTTGAAAATTAATAGCCGCCTCCGATATCGAAAGGTGCAACTTTAACACATGCATCTAGATACAGTTTAAGATGGAGAATCCGATTTTTTAAGCGGATTCGAAATTGAACTTCAAATAAACATTTTAATGGCATTTTACGATTATGGCAGTTAACATTTTTATGAAAATTAATAACCGCCTCCGATATCGAAGGGTGCAACTTTAACACATGCATCTAGATACAGTTTAAGATGGAGAATCCGATTTTTAAAGCGGATTCGAAATTGAACTTCAAATAAAGATTTTAATGGCATTTTACGATTATGGCAGTTAACATTTTTTTGAAAATTAATAGCCGCCTCCGATAT